CTGACAAGATCTTTTGCTGTCTATAGCCGGGTACCCATTCCCACCTGGGTGAAGTGAGGAAAATAAGTGTAAAGTGCCTTTCCCAAGGACACAACGTCGGGCCCCTGACGGGATTCGAACCCACGACCTTACGGTTGCGAGTCCGAGAGCCTAACCACTAGGCCACCGACGCCACCGACGCCAAGTACTGTAGTTGTGAGTGGTTCTTGTGTATACTGACTGTGATTCAAGAACTCCGGTAAACATTCCATCAAGAGTGGCCCAGAGATGGCTCATAACGATCACGACCATTCCCAAGACGTGGATGGGTGCCATGTTTCTGGTGAGTCAAGTTTTGTGATTTGTTCACTAGATTTACAATCTTATTTTTCTATTGTTTGCCCTAATTTGAAATATATATTTTTTTGTTCAGTCTTTGATCTGGTGGTTGATGGGGCTGTTGTCGTCATCATCATCATCATCACCATTGTCATCATCATCAATGCCTTCCACCCCTGGCAGGTTTATAGGCCACATAAAAGCTCCTTCCATCTATCTCTCAAGGGTGCCAAATATCTGTTTTTTCCGGGGGGTTTTCACTTGCAAAGGAAAGGGTAGAGGTAAGAGAGAATATGTTTTTGTTTGCTCAGTTAAAAGCTTAACTAGGTTCAGTTTAGGTGAGATGTGATGCTCCGCTCATTTTCGTTTTTTTTTTCAAAAACCTTTTGGCATTCTTGATCTCTGTCCTTGGCCATCCTTTCAAGCTCGTTCCATGTGAGCTTTATCTCTCTCATGTCCCTTTCCACACATCTCCTCCATGTTTCCCGTGAGGTGTGAGAGTGATGATGTAGTGTTTAAAAGCTTTTAGCTGTTGTATTCTAAAGATCTGAGTTGTATTCTTGCATGGGGGGAGGGGAGGGTGAGGGGGTGTAAAATCTAACATCTTCGTCTGTTTGTTGGGATGCTGTATCCAACTGAGCCCTGGTTGGTAGGTCCACCAGACAAGGCGAGGTCGATGGAGCAGCCCGACTCCACAAAGGTTGGGGTTTTGTGGTGGGGACAGGAAACTTCTCCAGGAGAGAATTGTGCGTGATTCAGAGAAAACAAAAAGTGTGATTCAGGCCTGTACCACAGAGAAAACAAAAAGTGTGATTCAGGCCTGTACCACAGAGAAAACAAAAAGTGTGATTCAGGCCTGTACCACAGAGAAAACCAAAAAGTGTGATTCAGGCCTGTACCACAGAGAAAACAAAAAGTGTGATTCAGGCCTGTACCACAGAGAAAACAAAAAGTGTGATTCAGGCCTGTACCACAGAGAAAACCAAAAAGTGTGATTCAGGCCTGTACCACAGAGAAAACAAAAAGTTTGATTCAGGCCTGTACCACAGAGAAAACAAAAAGTTTGATTCAGGCCTGTACCACAGAGAAAACAAAAAGTTCATCCATGTACCACAGAGAAAACAAAAAGTTCATCCATGTACCACAGAGAAAACAAAAAGTTCATCCATGTACCACAGAGAAAACAAAAAGTTCATCCATGTACCACAGAGAAAACAAAAAGTTCATCCATGTACCACAGAGAAAACAAAAAGTTCATCCATGTACCACAGAGAAAACAAAAAGTTCATCCATGTACCACAGAGAAAACAAAAAGTTCATCCATGTACCACAGAGAAATATAACAAAAAGTTCATCCATGTACCACAGAGAAATATAACAAAAAGTTCAGCCATGTACCACAGAGAAATATAACAAAAAGTTCAGCCATGTACCACAGAGAAATAAAACAAAAAGTTCAGCCATGTACCACAGAGAACCTGTTTGGCACCGCACAGTTGTGGGGGGGAGTTGAGCTCCCTATGTTTGGTACAATGGGCACTGTTCTTGTCCCATGTTCTCCCTGTCTGTGGTACATTGGGCACTGTTCTTGTCCCATGTTCTCCCTGTCTGTGGTACATTGGGCACTGTTCTTGTCCCATGTTCTCCCTGTCTGTGGTACAATGGGCACTGTTCTTGTCCCATGTTCTCCCTGTCTGTGGTACATTGGGCTCTGTTCTTGTCCCGTGTTCTCCCTGTCTGTGGTACATTGGGCACTGTTCTTGTCCCATGTTCTCCCTGTCTGTGGTACATTGGGCACTGTTCTTGTCCCATGTTCTCCCTGTCTGTGGTACAATGGGCACTGTTCTTGTCCCATGTTCTCCCTGTCTGTGGTACATTGGGCACTGTTCTTGTCCCATGTTCTCCCTGTCTGTGGTACATTGGGCACTGTTCTTGTCCCATCACGTCCACTCTAACGTGATTGACTCCCACTCCCACCCTGTGTGTGTGTCTGTGTGTGTGTACTGTGTGTGTGTGTGTGTCCATGAACCAAGTGCTCTCCTTGTGTTGGAGTCTCCTCTTCCTGTACCACTTACTCGCTATGTGTGAATGTATCACTTCTAGATCTCTGTAAGGGGGGGGGGGCAGGGGAGGGAATGGTGACTCATTCATTGTTGTCTCTGTCACTCGCCAGTTGGTGGGGATATCCGATCCAGTGTGGGTGGAGAGAGGGTGAGAGAGAGAGAGGGTGGGAGAGAGAGACAGAGAGAGAGGGGGTGAGAGAGAGAGACCGAGAGAGAGAGAGACGGGGGGAGAGAGACGGGGGGGAGAGAGTGAGAGAGAGAGAGAGAGACCGAGAGAGAGAGTGAGAGAGAGGGAGAGAGAGAGAGAGAGAGAGAGAGAGAGAATGTCTGTGTGTATGTGTGTGTGTGTGTGTGTGTGTGTGTGTACAGGGACAATAGATGGTTTGTCTTTAGGTGTCAGTCGTGACATGTTGTTGACAGCTCATCTTGTACAAACTTCCAACAATTCGTCAACGAAGTGGCTAGCCGTACTTACGTCAGGCCCCATTGACCGAACCCTGTTGAGTTGAGTACACAGGTTTCATTAGCAATTATTCAGGTTTAAAATACACGCACTGTCAGTAAGGCACCTTTTGGTTTCGTCTCAAATACAAATACTTTAGGTATTGGAAGCTATAATTTTTTTACTATTTAGTAGGCCTATTTTTTTGCTGTTTGTTAGTCTAGCCATCATTATTAAGTACGGATAGCCTAGACTTCTAGTCGTCATTAAGTACGTCTAGCTAGCCTAGATTTCTAGTCGTCCTTAAGTACGGCTAGCCTCTTCCATTCGTAAAAGCGTCCAGTGCACTTGATCTAAGCAAGTTTTATGACGGCCTCATGCCATCATCCATTCACATGTCAACATCCGAAACCGACGGCGTGGACGGAAAACTGTAGCCTACGGTGGCCCTGAACTATATGGCAGTCATTATTTTTATATCATAATTAACACCCACACACACATAATATTATGTATACAAAATGCCCTGAACTGTGGTAGTTTCGTATTCAACCAACACCCGATATCTAGATATTCTGTAGAAGATGTGATACCACTGGCGAAATAGGGGGCTCCTTTGTAGGTTGTTGTTTTTTTCT